ATTAAATAGCGAAACGCCAGTATGATTAAACAAACAAATGTTCAGGTAGGCATAATACTCTATAAAAGCTGAGAAAAACAAATGAACCGATTACGTAATACTACACTGATTGTAAGGGAAGTAAATAAAACACGTTTTTAATGAAGATATGATAAGATTAAGGGATGATAAGAGAGGGGTTGAAAATATAATTAAGGGGTGGTGTGGAAGTCATCCGTTGATCATGACTTAATAGGCCAAGGGAAGAATAATGGCTGTACGAACTTCTTTTGAATGCATAGTTTAAGTTTAATAGTTCGAATGCCTATCACCTCAGCTCTGTGTGTAGTAGACGAATACGGAGTCTTGGAAAACCTGGGAGTACTAGACAGCTGTTTTCTCAGCCTATTTTGGGACTCTTCGTCAGCTCGCACCCACCGCCAGGAGTTCGAGCCCAGGACCTTCTGGTTAAAAGGCGAGCTAGCTCGTGAACCATTAAGCCACTAGGACCCAATCCAATGGCCCGTGAATTGGCAGAAGTTAGAATTCATAGGCTGGCCATTGGGTTGGGTCCTAGTGGCTTAATGGTCCATGAGCCAGCTCACTTTGCAACCTGAAGGTCCTGGGTTCGAACTCCTGGAGGTGGGTGCGTAATGTGAAGAGTCCCGAAATAGGCGGCCGAAACAGCTGGCTGTCCAGTATTCCCTGGTGGTTTTCCAATGGTTCTCTAACTGATGTCAGCTCACGATGAAATCCTCCAACCAATCAAACAAGAAATACCTACAAAACCAATACTTGAATACGAAGTCTATTGGAAAGATTCAGTGGGATGCGATGAATCAATCACCTTGCATGCTTTTGTTTTCCCCAATAAATGACCACTGTCATCTATATGTGACAAAATGGAGCTATGGATTGTTTTTGTCTGTCCTTCGCTAAACCTCCACGATGGAAGATGTTCAGTAACACATTGGTTGGCTAAGCTGTTTAGTAATACGGCTAACATAACTGTCACGGCAGGTGCAGTTGAATTGATAAATACACATAAGTGTGAGGCAAAACTATCCAGCTTATGCTCCGTTTGCGTCCCAATCATTCGTCATCTGAGTGTAGTCAGTTGGGGATAACTGACAGGAAAGGAGGGAATAAAGAATTGCAAATGGGTTACAAAAATGAAGTTGAAAAATAAAAAAAGATTACATAGAGTATATTAAACAAGAATTCAGGGAAACAGAAACTGAGGCTGAATGAAACGTTCCTGGACACGACGTTTAGATTTTTCCTTAAGGATTGTTATAGCTCCGGCTGCATGAAGAAGATGTATGCGAAATCCTTTTGAATGACTTGAATCTCTGACGAAGTGCTCTCTCGACAGGTGGCTTTGGAGAATTTCACTAGTTGTATTTTCCTTGAATATCACAAAACCAATAAAATATTGGTAACTTTGTATGCTGGAAAATATATTACTCAATGTGAGGTGTAGTCTAGAAGGGAATAACTTAGTGGAGATTAAAAATATGGAAGATGGAACTACGTATTAAGTGTAAAAATTCATACAGTAATGTGTTCTGCAACAAAAGGCTATTGAAGCCTCTGCTCCTTGTGCAGAAAAACAGGTCCAGCCACTATTACTGCCCTGGCCGGCCTATTGTGGACCCTATAAAATTCATGAATTCTTTATTTTTACTGATATTCAGCATGTATTGTTATGTTAATGCATACTAGGACACTTACAGATGGTGGTATAAGATGGTTAGAGGCAACTGGCCACAGGAAGCCCTACCTCACCTAGGCTTCGTGCTAGTTGGCACTCATCAGTCAGAAAGGCGTATCCTCAACCACATTAAATGAACAACCCGTGTCCCTCCTGAGATTCGAACCCGCGTCACCTAGTGAGTGGTGCAGTCAGGGAGAGACGTTACCACTGAGCTATTCGGGCTCGCAAGTGACCTCCTGTAGGACTGTATTGAATACTTTCGATTGAACACTAGTAAGTAACTAGTGTAATGTGTCTAGTCCTATCTTTGGTACAGACTGAATTCTATCAGTCAAGTTCACAAGTTATTCACTAGTGTCCAATCAAAAATATCCAACACAATCCTACAGGAGGAGGTCAAATACCAGCCCCAATAGCTCAGTGGTAACGTCTACCTCTGACTACACCACTCATTAGGTGATGAGGGTTTGAATCTCAGAAGGGACATGAGTTGTTCCTTCAAGGTAGTTGCTGATACACCTTGCTAGCTGGTGAGTGCCAACTAGCACGAAGACTAGGTGAGGTAAGGCTTCTTGTGGCCGATTACCTCCAAGCATGAAATAACTACGATTATGAGTGGACCGTGATGGCTAGCCACCTAGTTGATGGTGGCCACATTGGAAACTTGACCGAGTAGTAGAATTCAGTCTGCACCAAAGGAAGGACTAGATACATTATACCAGTCATTAGCTGGTGTCCAATCAAAAACTTACGTATGCTATTGAACTGTAATCTGTTGATATTATTATTGATTCGATGTTATTTAAAAAACATTAATACTTAATGTCAGCAAAAAGTTTGAGCATAGTGAAATAGATCAAATAAAGTATAATTATACTTCAACTGGTTTACACACAATGATAAGTTTTGTTTTTTGGTAATATTTCGAGCAAAATTACTACCCGTGTTCACACCACTGTTGGAATTGTTTCGTTCACACATTTATGATCTGTACTCATATATATAGATATATATTTTTTTGCTCATTCATGTTTTTGTATTCAGAATTATATTCCAGGTTGTTGACAGTTGTACTGAGCCACCCTTGTTACATGTATCCGGTATGACCTTAATGAATATAGATTCTGTTATTAGTAGTCTCTCATTCCATTTGTTCGAATTAGTTTTTAGAATACACACATTGTTCCAGTCGATATTATGGTTTTTGTCCCATGCATGTGCAGCTATCGATGAATTTTTTCAAGATTCTTGTAAGTTTGTGTTCCTGTTGGTTGACCTTTGGTTAGGCAGGCGTTTATGTTCATTCACTCTTATTTTGAGTGATCTGGACGTTTGGCCCACATATTTGGTCGGACACTCGGCACAAGATATTTTGAAAAATCACATTGTTTTTATTCATCATTTTTATGGGATCTTTCACAGTTGATTTATTTTATTTTTGATTAGATTCGTCAGTTTAAACATTGTTTGAATCCTAACAAATATTTTTGAGGTTTCTTCGAATTGTCTCCGATGTACCATTTTTGTATGGTATTGTGACTGTTTTTTTGCATTCCTCGGTCTTGTCATTCTCCGGTTTTACCTTCTTTTTTCTCCTTTTTTATATTATCTTTGATAAATTCTTTTGGGTAGTTATTTTCGTGTAGCATTTCGAATAAGACGATTATTTCTTTACGTTGGTCTTCTAGTTTTGTTGTAAGTTTACGTATTCTATCTGCAAGACCTTGTATTAATCCTCGTTTTACCGTGAGTGGATGAGCTGAGTGATAATCAAAGAAACTTCCAGAGTGTGTGGTTTTCCCATATAGCGTCGTTTTTATGCTACCATCTGTTACTCTTTGTATCTGCAGTCGAACATAGGTAGTTCCCCCAATTTCATTCTCTACTTCTATAGTGAATTTTATTGAGTTGACATGACCGTTTATGTGTGTGTGTGAAGAATTTCTCAGCATTGTTTCTTTTTCATCATTACTAACTTGTCGTCTACATATCTCCATCAACATTTTATTGATGACCTGAATGGTTTAAGTGCATTCTCTTCCTGAAAATCCATGAATATGTCAGTTATTATCGGTGAGATGGACGATCTCATGGCTACTGTTTCATTAATACTGTTAGCAACACTAATTCATCCACTATTATGGATGCATATAACTGTAGGACCTGATGAAGAAGGAGTTATCTAAGAAAGAATATTTAGACTATCGAAATTCACGAAGAGATTCACGCATGTATGTATGTGTGTGTGCGTATGGAACTCACCTCCGCAAGGACTTCTACTGTTGAAACATACCAAAAACATACAGTTATCCATAGACGGCTGTTTCAAAGAAACGTCTTTAACAAGGAATACATTTATTCCATTCATCACGTGACTGAACAAGGTTCCAGGGAAAAATATCATTATTATCATGATTATTATTGTCACCATTCACTTTCGTGTTGTTACTCAAATGTCTAACTGTCATCACAGCAGTGAATAATGCAAAAGAGACAACAAAATCGAAAATATAAACAACACAACACAAACACTGTGTACCATTCCCCCTTTTTTTGTTTTCCTTTTTTCTTCACACCCTTAATTTGCATAAATGCAAAAAAGAGAGAGAGAGAAAAAGAAAGCAGCAACCATTTTAATTCCATTGTCTCTTGTTTTAAACAACAACAGAAAAATAGGCGTGACAACAATATGTTCTTTCTGATAGGTTGTCAATCAAAACAGCAATAGCAACAGCAACAATTATAATATATTTTTTTAAATATTCAGACTGAGGGAAAAAGTACATCGACAGAGAGAGAGAGATCCTATTCTCCTACTAAAACCACAAATTTTTATCGTATTAACACCAACTTATTAGGGGATAAAAAAAACAATTAATTTATGTTTCTTTAGGGAACTAGAAGACTCATTGTCCATTTGACCCATTTATTATAGTTTAAAATGTGTGCGTGAATCTGATTGGTTAATCCAGTCGACCAATCACGCTTCTAGCTAGCATGGGTAATGAAATACGTAGATAGGGATATTTAATTCTTGCTGGAGCCTTCAACATCAAAGTAACCTAGTGGATAAAAACGGATTTCATATGATGGAATGGGTGTAACACAATTCATATATGTTTTAAATAATATTTTATTTCAATAATTCTACGGCTGATGCTTTTAACAAACATGAAAAAAAGCCAGTCGAATAAAAACTTGTTTTTTTTCCTTTGAAATTTACGCCCTAATTTTCAATGGTTTCAATTCGAATGTGTATTCATATTCAATTGTTCAATATTCATAGGAATGCAAAGATGAGATGAGAAAAAGAGATATCAGAATGAGAAATAATAATTTAAACAATAATAATTATAGTAATAGCCATAGTAATTATAAAATAAATGATGAAGAGCTTAATTGGTTCACCGTATCACTGACAAAATATTATTTAACGAATAATAATAATAATAACGAATACAATCAAACTAGTAGAAATATGCCTACGAAATTAACCAATCCGAATGATTCATTCGATAAATTAGGTAGACAGTTCACTGAATTAGCTAGAGATGTTTTAAAAAATTATTCAATTGTAGAAAGGTTCGGTAGAAAAGATTTGTATTCGAAAAAGGCATTCACACCGAGAACTGCTATTAAGACGCATCTATCACCACCTACATCGTCATCATCATCATCAGCCTCCTCGACGTCATCTAACTTCAACACACCGGTAACACAACATCGAAGACAGAAGAAATCGATTGCTACACAAAGAAATAATAATAATACTCGGTTAGAGGAACTGAATACAAGGCGGCAGGTAAAACAACCCAACAACAAATCTATGACAATACATATTAGTAAAACGGATAAAGTTAAGGAACAAGATTCGTCGAAAGTGAAAACTACCGCTGCTGCTGCTATGGCAACTCCACAGTCAAGTACCGATTCATTGATGAGTAACACCGTGTCAATTGAATGTCATACTCCACAAGTTTTCAATCATCCCTCAGAACCAATTATTAATAGAGACAAATTGAAGAAATCGCCATCATCATCACTGTCATCACCTTCCGCATCTTCTGCGTCTGTATCGTCGATTCCCTCACCGACTTCAACATCAAAATCTGAGTTGAATACTGAAAAGCTTAAATCGACCGACAATGAAAAATGTCAGACCAAAACGGGATCGACAGATTTCGATGATGAATCTACAGAAATAAAAAATGAAGACACTAAAGATAAACAGAAAGCGAAAGCGTCGTCCTCCACGATGCCGTCCTCATCGACGACAACACCAGTATCATCAGCGAAGTCAACTCATCATCAAAGCCGTCGTAATCATCAGCATCAAACTTATCAATTTGTTGTAAAGTCTGAAACATCGTCCACTGGACAGACAAAACAAAACAAATCACATACTGCCTATTGTGATAATGAAACATTGAATTCCAAATCATCCGGTATTGGATTTTATCGTATTCTGAATACAGTTGGATCTGGAAATTTTTCACAAGTGAAATCAGCAATGCATGTTCTGACTAAAGGTAAGTTCGTCCAGCTGATAACTTTTAATATTACTACTTTTATAATAATAATAATTGTTATTATTACTATTATTGTCGAGTGATTACATCGTAGGGAATTCAGCAGTTTCAGCGTAAATTTCCTTATGAGCTGATATCAGCTAGAGATCCATTAAAAATGCTGGTGTCTGTATGGGAAGAGGGCATTGACAACAAGGGATTGAATACCTAACAAACTATTATTATTATTATACTACTGGTATTATTGTTTCCTTTAGTTCCCAGAGGAACAAAGGGCTTCAGCCGCACGTCTCCAGTGCGTCCACTTCTCCACCAAAGTTTTCACCTGACTCCTCGTCTCCCACCCACATGCTTTCACCTCCTCTTCGCATCACCTCTTCCACCTCGATGTCTCCCTCGCACTGACGACCAACTTGCCGTTCTCCGTTCGGGTTCCACTAGAGCAATGGCCTGACGTATGATGTCACTTGATGGTTTTCCCAGAGTATGACCAATCCACCTCCATTTCTTCCCGAATATTTGTTGCAAAATTGGTTCGCCCCCGGAGATTCCTCCCTGTTGCTGTCACTGAGTATTCAGCGAAGACAGCTGTTGATGGAGGTGTGTAGTTTGTCCGAAGTGCCCTTCGTGATGCGGCGCCAAGTCACCGATCCTTCTAGTATGTAGCACTGACTTCACCAACAATGAAGTTGAAAATCCGGCTCTTATTTTCGTTTTCATACCGAGTGCTGTTGATCGCCACACAGACTTGAGAGATATGAAAGCTTGTCTCGCTTTCCCAATCTTCGCTTTGATATCCTCATCATTTTTATCCGCCTCTAGTTGAAACGATGCTTCCCAAGTGGGTAAAGGAGACTGATTCTTTCAGATTCCCCCCATTTATGCTGTTGACAAACTATCCGAGGTTTAAATAAGCAGTTGCACACGGTTGGGTTCATCATGTCACACTTGACGGCAGGCACTTGGAGAGAATGTCAAATATCTTGTGAGAATATCACAAGGTAAACTGACAAAAGTTAGATTTCACAGGTCGTTTGGTATTACTCTTACAGCTGAATGATCTTCATACTCTCCTGGTGACCTAAATGTCACAGATCCTAACTCTTGTGAAGGCTGGGATTCACACTTTGCTCCGTTACACTTTAAGGATCAAGCCGACAAACCTATAGATCCTTAAATCAATTCTTATTACACTATTATTATTTAAATTCGTCTCAGTTTCACTTCAATTATCAAATATTTTTCTGAAGTACCGCATACTCGATTGTTCTAACTAGGTATTTATTGATCGATAAGTACTTGCTTGTTAGTTCTGTGCCACAGTTGTGGAACACAGGACTTCAATCTTGCGCTTTGGAGTTTCAGTAGTAGTGGTGTTTATATATTCTAAAGGGTGGACTCGCTAGCCTCACATCCAACCTTCCCTCATTGTCGGATTAATAATCTGGTAAGGGAGGTAAAGGTGGGAATCGGTCGACCGGGATTCGAATACCGAATGGCGTCCATAGTTGGAGAGCACTCTACCGATGAACTGTCAACATAAATCATAGATCTTATAAAATAATGTGTAATCTTAAGAAAAATAAAATAAGAGGACTAATTAAAAAATGAGTGAGTATTCACAATGATTACGTTATAAGTAAGTGAGAGATGAAATAGTCAGAATAATAAAATAATCAGGACAACGAGACAACTTGTAAAAGGCTTAGGAGAAGGAGGGGGAAATCGCCTGTTACTTTTTTTTAAAATATTCATGTAACGATGACCAGGATAAGGCAAATGGTTGTACGAATTTCTTCTGAATACACTGGTCTGACTTCTTCTTATTCTCCAGGTGAATTCTAATGATTTCAGATCTGTGCGTGGAAGACGAACTTGTTAGGCAAAATTAATGATAGTTAGAGAACCACTGGAAAACCTGGAGGGAGTACTGGACAGCCAGCTGTTTCGTCAGTCGATTTTGGGACTCTTCAGTAGTACACGCCAACCGCCAGGATTAAAACCCAGGACCTTCATGGGCCATTGGATTGGGTCCCAGTGGCTTACTGGTTCACGAGCTAGCTTGCCTTGTAACCAGAAGGTCCTGAGTTTAAAACCTGGCGGTGGGTGCGTACTGCTATAGAGTCCTAGTGATTTGTCAATAATTCCTACTGTCTACTTTAATTAATTTATTAGTAGTATTTTATGTCATGGATTTAGTAAAGCAATAAGGTTATGAAACGAGAAATAGCCTGGTTCAAGGATAAAACTTGGACACTGTATGGTAGAGTATGACTCCATTATGAATAAAATTTTTATTTTGATAGAATCACACAGTGGTTGTTATACAGGAATATTTACTGATGTGACCACGCTTCGAGCACAAATTTTTGCCACTCATAATCATATCAAGTCACTATCACACAACTTTTTTCCTTCATTTATATACATGAGTAGAAATTGATGATTAGACATTTGAATAAAAAAAATCAATATAGGATAATGTACATTCAGAAATAACAATATGAGTGTTATTGATCAAATACAATAAGATGGGAAATAAGACGAGTGTTTTTATAGTCATAATAAGTAACTTGTTAGGATGTTATGATGTATGTGAATTGAAATAGAATTTTATGATTATTTATTATCCTCCTCTGATTTGACTGACTGGTGGTAATAATATCTTCCATATTTCTGGTATTTGCATTGAGTCACTTCTATTGCAAACAAAATAATATAATTTACAAAATACCTTGCAATGACTGTGTGTTAAGTCAACTACATAGGTCAAAGCAGTAGATCGGGGGTAGTCAGATTATCGGAACATAAGAATTTAGCTTAGGTTAGAATGATTGATCCTAAGTAATTTAGGCAAAACTCAGCAATAGCACAGCACTACATGCATTAACACACAACCACACATAATAAGGTGGGAGAGGCTCAAAATTCTAAGAAGCAATATAGGTAGGTGGAGATTGAGATTGATTACTGAATCCTGCCTGGTTCATCAAGGTACCTACACACAACACATGCAACAGAAATGACTCAATGCAAATACCACAGATATGGAAGATATTATTCTTACCAGTCAGTCAAATCAGAGAAGGATAATAAATAATCTTAAAATTCTATTTCAATTCACGTACATCACAACATTCTAACAAGTTACTTATTTTACTATAAAAGCATCTTACTTCCCATTTTATTGATAACACTAATATTATTTCTGAATGTACTTTATCTTATATTGATTTTATTCAAATGTTTAATCATCAATTTCTACTCATGTATATAAATGAAGCAAGAAAGTTGTCTGTGTGAGTAGTGCCTTGATATGATGGCGATGAGCAGCAGTAAATTGTGCTCGGAACGTGGTCTCATCAGTAAATACTCCTGTGTAACACTACACTGTGTGATTCTATCAAAATAAAATTTCTTTTTTATCCATAATAAAAATAACCTGGCGGTTTTTATACATTTATTTGTACATTTGTTTCAATGAAATCGGCATAGTGTTTCCAACTATGTTCCATAAGTCAGGATAATAATTTAACTTTCTGATGGAAAAAAATTCTCAACACATCACCTAACTTTCAGTTGATAAGTTCCTTTGGATGTATGACAATCAGTAGTAGAGAAAAGAAATACAAACTGGGTGGGGGGGGGGCGGGGAGAATAGTTAAGACATTGGGATAAGACAGCGGGATAGATGTGATGTGAGTAATAGATAAGCACTATCAATGATTTCCACGGTGTTTGTCACTTATTTTCATTTCCTGTACTATGTTGTGTTGTTATTGTTGTTGTTGTTGTCACTTCTCGGTGGAATGACAAAAATAGAAAAAGCCGAAAATATGACAAAAAACAAACACAGTACACGTAAAAGAAAAGCAACACCGACAGAGGCAGTTCAAGTGACAATATACAACACACAGCGTAATGACAAGTAGAAATATACAGTCAGTGTTAATTTCTACTCTTATTATACTTTTTACGAGTTGATCACGGATTGATATCAGTTAGAGAACCATTGAAAACCAGTACTGGACTACTGGACAGCTGTTTCATCCTAGTTCGGCAATCATCTGCAGTACGCGCCCACCACAAGGGTTCAAACCCAGGACCTTCCGGTTACAAGGCAAGCTAGCTCGTATACCATTCAACCACTGGGACCCGACACTTCAAAGGCCAGCCCATGAATTCTAACTTCTACCAATTCGTGATGCATTTAGCGCGACCACCAACCAATGTCATCAGTGGGACATCCATCCTCACACTTTACTGGATGGATCTTACTGGTCACGACTTCTCACTAGAACTCCAAGAAATTCTGTCCTGTAGCAATTCAGTCACTAGCGAGCATCAGATTAGTTTCCAAGAGTTTGGTTTGTAAGGATTTAGGTTGCTACCTCATGCCCAACCTTTCCTCTTCACCAGCATTATTTCTGGCTTAGCGAGGTAAAGGGGTGCGTCTGTGGCCGGGGATCGAACCCTGGACCATGTGCATGGTTGGCGAGCGTCCTAACCGCTATGCCACCGACGCCTGTTTGTAAGGATAAGTTTTGTTTTTAACGAGTTGATCACGGATTGATTATTATTCCCTTGGGTTCCAAGTGGAATATAGGGGGCTTCAATAGGACATCTCCATTTCATTTTGTTCTCTTCAGTCCTTTTGAGCCAGACCAACGATTAGCCATAGGCTGTCATCTCCTCGTCATATGATCTCCTTCATGTCACCCTCGGATCGACGCCCAGCAACAGATCGTTTATTAAGGAAATCAACACATATTTATAGATTTTCATATACATTATTATAGATTATTGTTAGCGGACAAACACAGTCTTCTGATTGGTTGTTTCTCACTGAAAGTTAATCTTTCATCTCTTTGTGGCTGTTTCTTGAATGTCAGATCATCTATATGCTAACTGTATCCGCCTACGGAAAGTCGGCTGTGGTTGGTTGTTGAATCAGTCTTTGTTCATATTTTTCTCACGAACAATATTGAACTAATTGTCCT